TGCTTCTTAACGCCAAACTCGGCCTAACACATTGTAACGCCAAATAATTCACTTCGGCCTATCGGATGAAGATAGAGCGAGAGGTCGGAGCGCTTCATTTGTATTTGAGAATATTGGGTGCAATCATTCATATCACGCGTTCTTATTGACTTCGTTCGATAGCATTTGAACTAAAGTATCGTACCAAGCGCATAATTTACCTGTTAACGCCGAAATCATGGATTTATTTGATGTTTTCTGCTTGATAGGCTCAAAATGAGCGCTTAGGCCGAAGTAGTTATGTACCCTATTAGCTAAAAATATGATTTATAAAACCGGAAAATCTCGAATCATTAATCAGGAAAACCGGGAAAAAACCTGGAATTTCAAAATGAAAATTCAGTTGCCACCCCGATGTAAGTTCCAAAAGATGCAGAATGAAAGACTATGAAACTCTTCAGAATACACTGGAGTCGCTTTTTACGCGGTTTTTTTACGCGGATTTCGGAATTCACACGGTTTTTTTTTTACGCGGATTTTGGTTTGTTTGTTTTTACGTGGATTTCAGAATCTAAGAGGTTTATCGTTACACACTAGAGTCGCTTTTTACGCGGATTTCGGAATTTACGGGGTTTTTTTTACGCGGGACGTATCACCCGCGTAAAAAGCGACTCCAGTGTACATACCTCGACGCAAAACGGTCATCAGATATCACAGTAAGCTCATGAATTACCACCTTTGAACCACTGTGCCTTGATGGGTTTCTGATTCCCGTCGTCGAGCGACGACTTGAAACAACGACAATCGCATTCTATTTCCTATGAACCCTAGAAAACTCTGCTCTGCCATGGCAAGTAGTGACCGACAGTAATTTCGCAGAGTAACGACGGCTGTAGTCCCAACGGCAAATGAGCGGTTTCATTATATAATTATCCTACAGTTACATGAGATTCTCGCTAAATTACAGTTGCGTTATGCTCGCGTTGCTCATCGATGGCAGTTTGTGTACTACAAAATAACATTTTTTTATTTAAAAAAAAAACTAGGGCTGGACAGACAAGTGATAACTCCCTTATCGATGTGATGAATTAAATTTCTCTTCGTCGTCCGTCGCGCTTCAGGAAGAAGAATGACGGTGACGGTGAGGCTTCACTTTTCGCTTCTTGTTTTTGCTAGTGTTGTTTCTCACTCTACCTCCGCTCGAAATACCATGCCATGGGTTCACTACCACCTCGTCAATCAGCACACCATACTAACCCGATATTGGGAGTGTGGACAGATAAAAACGAAATAACACGCGAGAACCCCTCGAGTTGACTGCAGGCAGGCGCTGGGAGTGAATTTTACCATCCCATCCTCTTGTCACGCAGTCAATGTTTGTATACACACACACACAGCCAAGCGCAACGTGATTGTGTTTGTCCAATAAGCTTGTGCTGCTCGGTAGATATCTGCTGCTGTTTGTCTGAACTGCGAACTGAGACTGGAACGGAACCTACATGCGTTCATGACTGCCGGGTTTTTGAGGTAAACTTTTTTGATGGAATCCAATTGGATTGCGAAGTTGTTGCTCCGATGCGACTGGTTCTCTGTTACCGTACCGCAACGCTGCTGCTGAGATTGACAGCAGCTAATATCTCATTGAGAGGCCCGGCTTATGTCGGTTGTTTGGTGGTGCATGCGATGGGCTTTTTACCAACCGTGAGGTTATGCATGCATTTTTAGGGTTTTGATGGTACTGTACACTTCCAAGTCGTGGTATAGTTGTGCGGGGATTTGGTTTTTGATCTAATTGCTATTCTACTAAGCACAGGTTAAGTTAAATTTACAGAGCATCAACCTGTCCTGATTATGAACTAGATAATGGAAAAGATGACTATGTCGTATATCATCGGTTCTCAAACTTTTGACGTTTGCGACCAAATTTGAAAGAACTCCGTTAGCTCGCGACCCACCAATATTGAATACAGATGATGTAAGGCCAAAACAACAAATGCTTTCAAATTGCGTGATTTCCTGAAATTCATAACAGAATGGAATTAAAATTGTTAAAAATCGCAGGAACAGAGCAGTGGTAGCGAGTCACTTTTTAGTGACTTGGTTATTTTTTTCAAGCCAGTCACTAAAAAGTCTCCTTTTTTGAGGCCCAGGTCACTAAAGTCAGTTTTCTTGTAATCAATCACTATTTCCAACTTTTTTAGCTTGAATTTATTTCAAGATTGATTATTATTATTGCAGTGTGTAGAATCGGATAGTCCAATCGATGCCTACATTTTGATGTAAGGGGTCGTCTATTAATTATGTCACACATTTTTGGGTTTGAAAACTGTGACGAGTCATACAAAAAAAAATAAGGTCCACACAAAAAATGTGACAAAGGGGGGAGGGGGGGTTGAAAATGGGCCAAATTTGCGTGACATAATTCCCTAATTATCGAACAATTTAAACGTGTTGTGCTTTTATACAGCTTTTTGACGATTAACCGTCCTTCTCTTTCTACAGAGTGTCTACTCATTTGGCTAAATATAATTCCCTAAGTTTCCAGGTTTTTTCAGATCTTTATATGATAACTAGCTGAGTGTGCCCGGTCTTGCTCGGGATTCAATATTAGCTTGAGTTTATGCGCCGATTTAAAAAAAAGCATGCTATATTGCACGTAGCCCCCCCCCCCCCTATTATCTAAGGGGCTACCCCCTATGATTATCTCCTTATACCCCCACACTCGCCCCCACATGCCTAATTTGGTTCCATTTGCTTGATTAGTTCTCGAGTTATGCAGAAATTTCTGTTTCATTTGTATGGGAGCCCCCCCCCCTTACAGAAGGGGGAGGGGTCTCGAACCATCATAAGAACCTTCCACGGCCCCAAAAACCCCTGTATACAAATTTTCACGCCAATCGGTTCAGTAGTTTCCGAGTCTATAAGGGTCAGACAGACAGACAGAAATTCATTTTTATATATATAGATAGATAGATAGATTTCCAAGTTACAGAAAGTTTTTTTTAAATGTACTATAAACTAGACCTGTGCGCCGATCAAAAAAAAATCGGCGGCGGCGTGATATGTTATTTTCTGTCGGCGGCGGTGGCGTGGCGGCGTCACGCCGTTTGCTTTCGGCGGCGGCGGCGTGGCGGCGTGGGTCGGCGTGAGTTTATTTTTAATGATTTAGAAAAAAAAAAACTTTTCAAGCCAATCGCATATGAACAAAAAAATTTCAGATATCTCAAAATCGTTAAAACGTAGGTCACTCATAGTGTGAATAAATTTTGCGACACTTTCCCGCGGAAAACTTCTTGAATATGGGGAAAATTTAAGAAAATTGTACACAGATTAGAAGTTCACTAGTGGAAAGACTAAAACCATATTCAGTTTTCCTCATATCCGAGACTTACCCCTTGGATTCATCCCTGTGTGCTAGATAGAGGAAATGCGAACAAACGTCAAAAAACTAAATGACGCTAAATCGCTGCCTCATACAGGCTTGTTAGAGGTTACTCAAACATGAGTCAGACGTATTCATTTTCATAACCTCTTTTTTAACGTCAAAGCATGAGTAGTTGGGATTTTTGAATATAAGTAACATTGACGCAACAATATTTAAATAAATAAATAAAGGTGGATCTCAATTTTGAGTTTTCAGCCCAGTTGTTGATTTAAAAAAGAAACAAAATGGAATTGTGAGCATGCCTGAAAAATCTTATTACAGCTAAACCGCTACTTTCAAAATTATACTACTATGAGATATTATAATAATATTTTTTATGCAAGATGCAAGAAGAGGAGGTAAAGTTTGTGTAGGACACATAAAACCTGTCAATTTTACATTCTTCTTCTTCTTCGCATTTCAAGCTTATTGCATATCGCTATTAGCTTATTGCGTGCTCTCAACTTAGTGTTCTTGATGCACTTCCACAGTTATTAATTGAGGCAAACCAACATAATGCACAGGTAGGGAAATTCTCCTCTGCACACTTAGAAATTATCGCCGACTTCGGTAATTTTTACCGAAATCTGAACAGCTGAACTGTTCGGTAAAATTTATGCAATTCAATTAAATTGCTTTTTAGCTACTTTGAAACTAAATCTCCACTAAAATGACAAGATTTGATCATTTAAGCAAGGTTGAACATGTTTTGAAATTATTTTCAAGTTCAATAGCCTTTAAAATGAAGGTCAAAATTTTACCGAACGTTCAGCTGTTCTGATTTCGGTAAAATTTACCGAACACGAAAACAAAATCTTAGTGTGTGTCTGATTGTGGTTAACACACTTAGATTATTTTACCGAAATCTGTGAAATTTTACCGAAATCTCAACAGCTGAACGTTCGGTAAAAAAGTTCGGTGATTTTTCACAGATTTCCTGTAATTTTTCACCGAATATCTGTGAAAAATTACAGGAAATCTGTGAAAAATCACCGAACTGTTTACCGAACGTTCAGCTGTTTTGATTTCGGTAAAATTTCACAGATTTCGGTAAAATAATCTTAGTGTGAGGTTTGCGAATGAAGGTTTCGGTTCACGAGAAAATGGCCTTACAAGGTTTGTTTGCAAAATGGAGTTAAGGCCATTTCAATTGTTGGTCTTGAATTCGGAAGCGATTTTCTTGTTACGGTCATTTTGGAGTTACGCCCTTTTCAAATGCTAGTCTAGGAATGATGAAGAACTGTCAATGACTCGCGCTTATTGCTGCTTACACTACACCGGTGTAGTGTAGCAAAAACGAAAATGACATAACCTTATAATTTTCCAGGATGCTTTCCCGTACTGGCTGCGTGTGCTAGATTAGATTAGATATGAGTCTACTTTTTTTTTTAGAATATTCACAATGCATAACACAGGTAAAAAATCTTAAACTTACCAGCATCATCAACGTTCCTCTGTTGGCCTTCTAAGTATTTTTGGTACCTGCAAACCAGTTCTCCCTTTACGTTAACTGTCCAATTATCTATTCATACCTTCTATTTACGCTGCTCTCGATTTGAAACTAATCCCCTCATTCTTCTTTTTCTTCAACTTTCAGATCACCGGATCAACCCCATCGGATCCCATAATCACATGGGGCGACCTCTCGATCAGAGTGGGCAATATGATACTTGGCCGACGGTAGCAATTTGCTCAATGCAGGTACAAGTGAAGTGAATTCGTGCTAGATTAGATTCGAGACGAAGTCAGTCGGTAAGTGCGCGCGCGGAGCTCGGAGCTGTGCATCGAGCTGAGCCGGCTTTTTCTCATTTGGAAACCGGCAGGGCAGTCCAAAGTTGTATATGAGTGAGAGTCAGCGGAGACCGCCACCGCGCTGCATATGTGTTTGTGTGATTAAGGTGCAACTGAGGAATAAGTGAGGAAATTTCACAGCCGTAGAAAATACGAGTACATGATCGTCGTTTCGAGCCGGTTGGCATAAAGCGAAAGAAAAAAGTGAAATAGTAAAGTACAAGCATTGTCACACATTGTTGTTTATGAGAGGTGTATTGCGGGGTGAAAGGAAAGAAAAAAGAAGATTAAGCCGGCTGGTGCTGTGTTATGTGAGTCGAGTTTTCTCATTTTGGGGGGTGGACGTATGCGTGAATGGGATTGGCTGGCGCTGCGACGAACGCGTTGATTAAAAGTCCCAATGAGGAGATGGCTCCAGCGCTCACCGAGCCGCTGAGTCAAAGCAAACTCTCGTCATCGGCAGCATCAGGTGCATCCCCCCGTACGGAGGTGGAAATCACCACTCAACAGGAAGCGCCAAGTAGCGCCACTACGGATTCCGGTGCCGGCACGGTGTCGACAAATCCCAGTGAAACGGACGTTACGCTGAGAGACAACACATCATCATCCGGAATCGAGCAAACAGTAGACGATATCCAGAACAACAACAGTAGTGGAGGACAACTGTTGAAGATTGATCCGGATAGTGGAAAAGATCTCATTGAGCTGGCTCTAGAGCAGCTCCATCGAGATGATAGCGAAACAACAGCAGCCGATGGTGCTACTGCAGGGGGTAGTACTGAAAACGCTGCCGAATTTATTTCTCAGGCTGTGATAGAACAGATGGCGCACGCTGACATCGTTACCAGTGACCAAATTGTATCCGGTGACCATCAATCTGATTTACAGCAACTGGACTCCCAGTCGTCAATTGTGTCCAGTTCCAGTACAGCGATGGGTCTGCAGAAAGATTACCTAAAAGATAATCCAGATATGGAGCAAATGTTGGGCGAGTTGGCATCCACGTCGGATATGGAACTCCTGCAGGTGTTCAAAAGCTTGGAAGGTAATCCGAGTAGCGATGGTCTGTGTGCCGAACTTGCAGGTGGCCTATCGCTCTTCAATGACGTAGACGTGGTTAACATATACGAGGAAGTCGCCCAACAAACGCCTCCTAATAAAGACCACGAGCGACTGGAATTGCACGCCGATATCGTCAAGCGCCAAGCGCAAATGCAGCGAAAATACGACTTCCTGATTCGGCGTCTCAATAAGCTTCAAGCGCGCTACATGGGACAACACGTAAGCGAAGAAATAGCTGGCCTCTTTGAATACTCCCAACGCTATTGGAAGAAGAAAGACAAGGAACATACCAAAGGCCTCAACACGGGATCCAGCTCCGCGTCTCCAACGTCTTTGATCCCGGACATCATTCCCTACCAACCGCCTCCGCCGTCGTCGGCCGAAAAATTGAAACCCATTTCGACGAACGCGATGAAAACGTTTGTCAAACGGTTGGAGGGAATCGCCACAACCCAGTGCTCAACGCAAACCAAACGGATTTATGGCAATCGGTACTTTCAAGGAACGGCCAGCAGTCCACCGGATGCGATGGCGACTACCACCTACACCACGCTGTCTACGACGATTCCCAAGTTCGAAGATTTGACGATCGATCAGCTGGAGCAGACGGCCGGACTGCTGCACTCGGAACTGAAACAGGTGCAGTGTACGATCGACTCCGAGGCAACGGCCAGCAGTTCCGGGGGCGAATCGGCCGACGAGATGGTCATGTACAACAATATGATCCAGCAACCGATGGGAATGTGAGTATTCGTTAATTTTTCTTTATGATTTTGACTGGAATGTGAATTACCGTTATGCTATGTTAACCCTTAACTTCCCAGGAGGTTTTTGGTTGTTTTGAGATGCAAAAATGTATTCTAGCAAAAAGCTCTTAAACAAAAAATGTTCCATGCAGCTTAAATTTATCGAATCAATCAAACAATGTTTATGATTAAATTCAATAGTATGCTAATTGTTTTTCAATAGTTACTCAGTTGAATCCTCAAGAATACGTATGGTGCAAAGGTAAAAAAGTGAGGTTACGGGATGCCACTGATTCCAGGTACTCTAATTCGTCTGGTAGCAAGTATTTCCTGATATTCTCGGAGCTCTAGAAATGTCCAGATTATTTTTACTGTCTTGGTGGAACTCTTTGGACTTTTTACACTCTTTTGCAACACCTAAAACCTCCAAGTCAAAGAGCTGAAGGATTTTATGGCATTGCCAGAAGCTCTAAGGGGCTGTTCATAAACTACGTAGACAGTTTAGGGGGGGGGGGGGTTGACAATTTTCCACGGCCCATACAAATTTTAAAATTTTTGTATGGACAATTGTCTACGCAGGGGGAGGGGGGGGGGGTCAAGAATCCCAAAAAACTGTCTACGTAGTTTATGAACAGCCCCTAATTTGTTTAGTTTTGAGAGCTCTGATATTTGCCAGAGCACCATAATATCACAAGAATTATGATGACGAGAGTTTCTAAAGTTCCACAAGCTCTCCATGTTCCTGAAGAGTTGTATGATCATCGAAAGTTTTCGATTTCGAACTTACGGAAGTTTTTGGTGAGTTAGTTGAGTTCCTGGAGCTCTCAGATCTCCTATTATGTTGTTTATGGTTTATGTTGTTTCGTAAGCCGCATAAGCTCCAAAAAGGAGAGTTTTAGAGAATCATGATGCTCCGACATTTAACAAAGTTAGGAAAGTTTTCGGAGCTTTGATAGATTGTGGAGCAGTTCTAGCAATTTCTTTTGTGTGCTGCAGAATCTTTTTTTTTTTTACCTGTACACCAACTTTGGAAACCTGATTGCTATTGTTATACTCAAATAGATTGCAAAATGCACATAATGGTTTAGCTTTACTGGTATCTATAAACTTTAATCAATATTTTGAGTTTGCATACGTTTTGAGAGTTGGTGCACATGTAGAATGCGGTTAAGGGCGACACCACTATGGCAATCCATAATTTTCTGATCTCTCAAAATTCCTATAGTTCTGGATCTTCGAATGTTTTGGTGGTTGCTAGTACCTAGTAAAAAAGTTGTAGAATTAATACTTGAGTTTCAAGACCTACAAGGACATGCATAAACTAGAAGAGTTCTGGGAGTTACTGGAATTTTACAGATTTTACAAATCCAGTAGCGTCCCGTAACCTCACTTTTTTACCTGTGCACCAACTTTGAAAACCAGATTTAATGTCATATTCATACTCAAATCGGTTGAAAATACACTTAATCTTCTAGTTTACTCGATATCTATCCATTGCAAGCAATATTTTGATAATTGTTTGTCTTGAGAGTTGGTGCACAGGCAGATTGAGGTTAAGGAAACGCCACTGCTTAAATCAGTCTTGTAGAGATGAAGGAGTTTGGGAATGGGGTTTCGTAGACTCATCAGAGAGATGTCGTCATCATGTTAACGGTAATGAAGTTTGAAGTTCGATTTCGTCTGGAGCTCGGATCGACTGGCGATGGTGTCCGCGATGATCCAACAATTCATAATCATTGTAGACGCACTCGTCCGTTCAACTCATCTGATTAAATTTCTTTCAATCAGATACATAGATAGTATGCTCCCGTTTTTAGTTTTGAAGAACTTTTACACGCTTGAAGCTAAGAAGTCACATTGTTCCTTGTTTTCATGGTGGCAGGCAAACAATATCTCACTTATTCCGATGGGTGTTGGCATCTATCATCCTCACGAGGAAAACCGTAGCCTCTTCAGCATACATATCTCACACTCTGCTCACTGGCTCACACGGTCCAAACTCGTAAATGTTCCCATTATGATGCAATCATACTGAAAGACATGCTTTGGCGCTGCTTAGAGCTCACAGCTGCCTCCAAACGGTAGCAGGAACAGACTCGTAACTCGCACTTGACGTTGCGAAATAGCTTCCGAATTGGCGTTGTCGACTGTCCCTGAGCCGGGAGGCTATCTTTACTCCAACGATGTTTCTCATTTACGTGTGTGTGAAGAAAAAAATAATAGAAAAATCTTACCTCCTTCACTTTCTCACGTAAAACCGCAAACAAAATCATCACACATCGCAGCATCGCATGGTGGAAATCGTTTGCTGTACGTTTTCTCCCCTTTATCAATCGAACGAAAGCGACTTTAGTCTGCCTGTGTCTGTGTGCAGCTTGAAAGAGGGTGCATGTGCTGACTGCTCGATAGTATTGGTGTTACTGTCAAGTTTTCCTTTCTTCTATTCCATTCAATTTTGCCAAACACAACAGACCTTGAACTGAGCTTGCTATCGCACTAGGCAAAAGCAAACAAGTCAAAAGGAAGACAACATATGCTTCGCGAAAAACCGGCGATTTTGGTAAAACGTGCAAATACGATTCGACTACTTCGGCGTGGTGTACGTTGTCTTGTTCAAACGCGGTGGAGCATGATTTTCCGATGGTTGAAAAATCAACAACCAGTCTGATCAGACTACTTTGTCGTACGAAACGAAACCGCCAAATTGGTCTGATCTATTTCACAAATATTAGATTTCCCCACTAAAATATATTACTTATTTTTCGATTATCACGTCCAACTGGAACATATACCTACCTTCTCTACATTGGGGACCTTCGTTTTATCCCATGATATCTGATATCTTTAGGGAAAAAAATCCATGGTCCCAAAATTTTGAAAAAAAAAAATCGAGAAAAAATTTCCATGTTCTAGCATATTTAAAATGTTCCAAGTCCATAGTCTTTAATAACGATCAATCCTTGATAACCCGACAATTTGGTTGTGTCGTTATATCTTGATTTAGGTCAAATAAGCTAATTTTTTACAATTTTTATTCTTATCATGAAAATTCAGAGTCTTCCGATATAGATCTTTTTAAATTCAGTTTAATTTAAAATTAAATTAATACTATTTTTTGACAAAACTAGCTGTTTTTATCAAACTGGAAATATCATGGAAAAATGGGAATTTAAATTCTTAAATTCAGTGGTCACCATGTAACCGGGAATTAGTATGAAAATTTAACGCTTTATAAGGTCGATGAAACCAAACATGGAATCAATTCGTACTAAAATAAAATATAAAGTTCACATGATGTAACGATGATGATGACGATCCCACCTCTTACCCTTATAAAGGTTTGAGCTGGACGATTTATCTAAAAGATAATGAAATATGACAATTAAACCAGGTTAGCAAACAAAATCGAACTGGTTCCAGTTACATATATAATTCCCTCTAGAGCTTACAGTTGCTTCACAGCTATATAAATGTGGAAAAGCTCAGGCGTCCACCTCTTAGTTCGCCTTTTTGTCCACCTAAAATATTCATAAGTATTACAAGCGATCAAGAATTAATGAACAATTAAAAAAGCATCCTATTACACTAGCAATCCCGCAATCTGATGCTATCATAATTTTCAGAAATGTCAGGAATGCTCACATAAAGGGTGATACGGTCAAAATTTGGTCAAGGGAAAACGCGTGTAAATCGGTGAAATCGTTTATTTAAAAAATCAAATTAAATTTCTTTTTCAAGTTCAATTAGTATAAAATTCAGGAAAAATATTCAGTTAGGCTTCCGCTTTTCCAAATCCGAATTGCCGGGCCTTACGCTTGACCCCTGCCATCAGATTTTGTACAGCCACCTTGTCCACCTTCTTCGCCGCAGAAAGCCAGTTTGCCTTGAACTGCTGCTCGCCCTTAGCAGTTTTTTTGGTCTTCTTTAGGTTCCGCTTGACAATAGCCCAGTATTTCTCTATTGGGCGGAGCTCTGGCGTGTTGGGAGGGTTCTTGTCCTTGGGAACCACCTGCACGTTGTTGGCGGCGTACCACTCCATGGCCTTTTTACCGTAATGGCAAGATGCCAAATCCGGCCAAAACAGTACGGAACAACCGTGTTTCTTCAGGAAAGGCAGCAGACGTTTATTCAAACACTCTTTCACGTAAATTTCTTGGTTGACAGTCCCGGAAGCTATGAAAATGCTGCTTTTCAAGCCACAGGTACAGATGGCTTGCCAAACCAGATATTTCTTTGCGAACTTTGACAGTTTCATGTGCTTGAAAACATCTGCTACCTTTCCCCTTCCTTTTGCCGTATAAAACTCCTGTCCCGGAAGCTGCTTGTAGTCGGCTTTGACGTAGGTTTCGTCGTCCATTACCACGCAGTCAAACTTCGTCAGCATCGTCGTGTACAGCCTCCGGGATCGCGCTTTGGCCGTCGTATTTTGTTTATCATCGCGATTTGGAGTCACTACCTTCTTGTAAGTCGATAGTCCGGCTCGTATTTTGGCTCGATGCACGGTTGTAGACGATACACCCAGCTTATTTGCGGCATCTCGGAGAGAGAGGTTAGGGTTTCGCTTGAAACTACCGGCAACTCTCTTTGTCGTCTCAGCGGCTTCCGGTTTTCGATTTCCCCCCGATCCAGACTTCCTGGCTGTCGACAAACGTTCCCCAAACACTTTAATTACATTTGTAACGGTTGATTTGGCAACTTTTAGCGATTTTGCCAACTTTGCGTGCGAGTAGCTCGGATTTTCGCGATGCGCGAGCAAAATTTTGATACGCTGCTCTTCTTGCTTGGACGGCATTTTGACAACTGAAGAGTGAATTCCAAAATCAAAATAGGAGCAACATTCTACACACACACACCTTCAAAATGAGGGGTGTTCAGGTTTTTTAAATGCAAAATTGAAAGAAATACGTCAAGTTGATATTGACCAAATTTTGACCGTATCACCCTTTACCCCGACATTTGCCAGAAAACTTATTACTAACTCGAAGTATCTTCCAAAT